ACGCAGGCCAAGATGACACCTAAGCTTACTAGGTGGGCCGCAGAGATAGATCAGTACGACTTTGAGCTCAAGCGTGTCAAAGGGAAGTACAACGTAGTCGCGGATGCTCTGAGTAGAAGAGCTGATTATTTTGGGGCAATAGTACATTACCTCGATATAGGAAAGGATCTGCAGCAGCAGGTTAGAGAAGCCTACGCGCAGGACCCTATCTATGGTGAGCTCCTTAAGAAAGTCAAGGAGGCCCCAGAGACCGAGCCGARCTACCRCACTACTGAAGGGTTGCTTTTTGAGAAGACTAATGTTTTTGACCGATTGTGCATCCCCAATAGCGAAGAGATCCGCAGTCTGATCCTGGGAGAATGCCATGACACGGAGGGTCATTTTGATTGGCAAAAGACCTTAGCCAATCTGATGCACGCGTATACCTGGCCAGGGATGAAGAATGACTGCGTAGAGTATGTTCGCAGTTGTAAGGTCTGCCAGCGTAACAAGTCTTCTACGCGTGCCCCGTTAGGTCTTCTCAGACCCTTGCCCATTCCGGATCAGCCGGGAGACTCAGTGTCAATAGATTTCATGGACACTCAAGTCAAGAGCAGGCATGGCAAGAGCCAAGTCATGGTCATAGTTGACGGCTTTAGCAAGTACGCAGTTTTTGTTCCTTTGCCTTCTGAGGCGCGTACTGATTTAGTCATACAGAGGTTCTTTGACTGTTGGGTTAGTGAGAATGGAATCCCGTTGTCTATAGTTAGCGATAGAGATAGTCGCTTTACTAGCCAGAACTGGCAAGAACTCATGGGAGTATACAGATCTAAGTTGTTGATGTCGGCCGGCCGCCATCCAGAGACTAACGGTCAGACAGAGCAAATGAACAAGATCCTGCAGCAAGTCCTGCGCATGTATATTAGGCCAGATCAGATTAACTGGGATGAGATGTTGCCTAAAGTAGCTAGTGCGTACAATAATAGCGTGCATCTAGCCACCTGCCGCACTCCCAACGAACTGCACAAGTCCTTTAGACCGCGCAGACCGTTTGAGGGACTCAACCGGGATCAGATTCAGAGATTGCCGCCCGGGACCCGGGAGTTCGCTGTACAGTACGAGAAAGAACTACCTACTGTTGTAGAAAACCTCAGGAAAGCCCAGCATAGGATGATAGAACAAGCAAACAAACATCGTCGCCCTTCACAGTTTCAAGTAGGCGACTTAGTCTGGGTTAGTTCGAAAGAGTTTGCACCTGAGGAGAACATCTCGCAGAAGTTGCTGCCCACATATAGAGGACCGTGGCATGTTCTGGAAGTCAAGGGTGGCGAAGATGGACCGTCCTACACCATAGAGTTACCAGCACACCTCCACACTTACCCAGTTTTCCAAGCATCAAAGTTGTTACCGTGTCAAACGAGTGATCAGTTTCCAATAGTGGCTGAAGATGTATTCAGGACTGGAGGTAGGGGTCGTCCACAGAAACAGTACAAGGTTCACTTTAGTTATCAAGAACCGGAAGACGACCGCTGGTTTACTAGATCTGAACTTCTAGAGACAGCTCCCGACATAGTCCGGGCCTCCGAAAGACAGCAGAAGGGTAAAGGTCCTGCCTTGGACTGAAATTTTCTCGGAGGACCTCGAATTTAGGCCGGCGGGAGTGAAACGGTATTCACCAATTCGTGGTAGCTGAGGCAGATCCCAGGGCTCGATCCCTAGTTCCCCAACTTACCTGTGTACAATACCTGCGTC